GTGTGTGTGTGTGTGTGTGTGTGTGTGTGTGTGTGTAAATGTGGGTGTGCATGTGTGTGTGCATGTGTTTGTATGTGTGTGTGTGTGGCGTATGTGTGTGTGTGTCAGAGAGAGGGTATGTGTGTGTAGTTAATGGCCATAATTGTGTTCGTGCTTTTCTTTACTAAAAAATTTATTCTTCACCATGTACTTTTTCGCAATTTAACCTGAACGCTTTAGCAGGTTATCCATTAACGCTTGTTCAGTCAACAAACTTCTCTTCCCCTAAATTGAGTTGTCTACTTTTGCTTCTCTCCAGCGGATTATGCCCAGAGGTTTGAACCAGACCCTGCTCACCTGCCTCTTGGCGTCTGCATCGACAACCTCACCAAGGTAGGAGCTCATGTGTTATCTCTCCTACTTCTTGTGAAAATACTGTGGAAGTTTCACTGTGGGTGGTTGATGGGTGCTCTTGGTGGTTTGATCCTTCTTTCCTATCAAACTTCTGTTGTCCTTATCTCTCCTCCTCCCCTTTTTTTGTGTTTGTAACTCTCTTGTAACACCTCTAATCTTCGGCACTTATATGACGTAATTGTGTCCCAAGTGATGTAGAACTCTTGCTAATAAAAAAAAGAAAAACATTTTTATTTGTACAGTGCTTAATGTCTGGAAGCCTTTTTCAAGATTTGATTTTATAAATGGAACTTATTTTTAAAAAACTTGTAAAATACTGTGGAAGTTTCACTGTGGGTGGTTGGCGGGTGTTCTGGTGTGGTTTGCTCCTTCTTTCCTGTCAAACATCTATCATCCTTATCTCTCCTCCTTCTTTTTTGTGTTTGTTACTCTCTTGTAACACCTCTAATCTTCGGCACTTATATGACCTTATTGTGTTACAAGTGCCGTATACCATTTCTAAAACTAAGACGTTTTCATCATGGGTTGTTGCACAAAATAATGTGAGGACACTGAAAAAAAAAAAGGACTGATACAATAAAGACATTAGTCGTAAGGACGGGGGAGAGTTCTATACTCATGTTCTTTTCCTGTTAACCACCATTTGTGGGTAGATGGAGGGTACCATTTGTAGGTCCTACTTCGTTTTACCATCCCTCTGTTGGCCCGGTCAATCTGCTTGATTTTTTCCCGGCACTAAATGGCTTATACAGTATTCCCTCTCCTTACTGTGGTTCACAACTAACGGACATGGAACAGCACGCTTTTTGTTGTTTTTTCTAACTGGAATAGGAAAATAAGATAATCTCAGTTGACCCACTATTGACTGTGACACAACCAACCAGAGCATATTGTTCAATACTTACCCACACAAAACAATGAAAGATGCGTCTAGATTCCAGCGGAAACCGAAGTCACAAACAATGCCTACTAGGAATTGACCACACTATCTAATGAAGCGGTGCTTGTCACATGTGAGGAAAGACTATTGAGCGGATGCGCTTCTTTTTCTAAAAAACAATTGAACAAACAGTTTATCTCTGGCAAGCCGCTCCCAGCGGCTCGGGCACATTCCTTTATGACGACTTCGACATCAAATTACTTTTCGACAATTACCGAAAACAAGTCTCTTTTACCGGAAGGTCATTCATCAAATGAAGAACTATCAAAATAGGTTTGTTAGTTTCAATTTAATGACCCATTTAATGAAGTTTTTGTCATTTTTAGATTTAGCGCCAAAAAAGGGCCCCAGCGTAGTGGGTTTACCCCCCTCAGAGATAAAGAGTTAAATAATCTCATTTGTATCGATGCGGTTAAACATTTACAGTGGGTGGTTGGCGAGTGCTCTGGTGTGGTTTGCTTCTTCTTTCCTATGAAACATCTATCGTCCTTATCTCCCCTTCTTCTTTTTTATGTTTGTTACTCTCTTGTAATGCCTCTTATCTTCTGGCGCTCATATTATGACCTTATGCTGTTGCGAGTGCCGTAAAACTTTTACTAAAACTAAAAAACATTTACAATCTGTAGTCTCTGTGTGTGCTCATGTGTGTGATGTGTGTGTGCGTGCAGGTGTACAAGCTGGGCAAGAAAACAGCGGTGAAGAACCTGAGTTTGAACCTGTATGAGGGACAGATCACTTCCTTCCTGGGCCACAACGGGGCTGGCAAAACTACCACCATGTGAGTCAACTGGCTGTTGTTGTGTGTGTGGGTGGGTGGGTGT